GGACCAGGCCAGGCGGCACTAGCAGGAGGTGAAGGTTTTCCAGAAGAAATTTTTGCAGGGGGCCTTGCGGTCCCGCTGCGATAGCTGGGCGATGTGCCCCAGCACCGCCCGCTCCTCCTCCAGCTTGCCCGCCTCTTCCACATCCGGGGAGGCCACCTCGCGCCCCAAGTCCACGCTGTCCAGCAGGCCCGCCAGCATCTTCAGGATGGCATCTTTCCGGACTGTGCTCTGTTCCTGTGGGCAGAGAGCAGGGGAAAGTGGCGGACGGAGGCCCTGTTCCCCACGGCCATTGAGGCAGGGGGTTGTTGCAGGGTGCGAACATCCCTCGTGGGGTCCCTTCTCATTTCCCTGCCTCCCCTGGTGCCCTGTCCTCTGAGCCGATGCTTTTCCCATCGGCAGAGCTGTGCTGGAGCTGAGGAATCTGTGGCTGCAGAGGTCACTCCTCCCTTCTGTCCCCTGTCCAGCTCAGCAGGCTGGACAGGGAGAGGCACACGTGCCATGTTATAACTGGAAAAGAGCTGCTAATAAATAGGCATGAATTGGCTGTAAAGTCCCTTGCTGCCTACACTAATTAAATTTCATTGAATGCCACACTGCCTTCTCTCCTAGTAAGCCCGTGCTCCCTTCACTGCTCTGACTGCCCAGCATCTGCTGTGGGAAGGTCAGGGAAGAGGCACGGAGTCCTGAGCAATATTTAATTAAGCGCACCGGGGGCTGCAACCCACTGTAAAAATGCTGAAAATTAAATGTAACAGAGGGCTGGGTTGGTGGGGAGAGAGACGCCCTAAGTATCTGGAGCAAAACATTTAATCAGTGGAAACAGGCAGCTTGTATTTCAAGAACAAGAACCCGTATTTCAATAGCCTGACCTTGGGGAAAGGCAGAATGAAAGAGGAGTTGTGGAGCTCCATCCCTTTGCCATAGCAGTATACGGGAGAGCATAGCCTGTGATTTGGGGCTTGAGGGATTTCTGTCAGTAACAAGCTGTGAGTTATCTTGTTTCTTTTAACTTTACATCCAGCAAATCTGAGGAATTACCTCTTGCCTGAGTATTCCTGGTCTGTGTGACTCATTAGCGGAGACAGCTGGTACTGGACAAGCTGGGATAGATGGTTTGACAGGAACAGATCCTGTTTCCCATGCAGATGGGAATCTTGGAAGCACATTTCCACGTCACTTCTCACAAATGCCATGTTTACTGCTGGGACTGCTATATCTATCTGCTGGCTCTGTCAGCACCAGCACTCGCTAAGGACCACTTGGTGAGCAATGCTAAAGACAGATAAACACAGGCAGCAGCAATTATTTTGAGTTTACGTTACAGAGTGTTTATGGATATTTTTTAATCACTTTTTTAGCTCTATTAACTAACCCTGCTTCCACACAAGAGAAACTGAGGCACAGAAAAATTACATGCTATGTTTGTAGCAGAAGAAAAGATAAAAGTCAGCTTGTGCCCATCCCGATTCCTACTGTTCTGCAAGTACAGAAATGTCTTGAACCTTTGGGAGGTGGACGGGGACTGGGGAACCCAGCTAAATGTGTCTCCTGGGTCATGACTTCCTCATGAGCTTCTTTCCTAGCTGTAAGTGCTATGTTTTGAAATAACCTGTTCCAAGCAGAGCCAGCAGCTTCAGACTCAGGGGTGGGGAAGGCAAAGCTTAGCCGGCTGTTAGGGGATATTCCTTACGCATGATCAGCTGTGGCTGTTAGTGAAACTAGGCAGCTCTTCCACTGCACTAATCCATTGCTAACATCCTTTCTGCTGTGAGAGATCAAGACTGGCAGCAGCTATAGATCTTAGCACGGGTGGCTTGTGGCACACCTTTGGGTAGCTGCTCAATTCCCTGTATTACATCTACCAGTGCGTCAGAATGCGCAGATCGATCTTTTGCATTGTTATGCATTTTATGGTGGTTTATATGTAAAATCCATTCTTCATAGTAAGTGCTATGTTTTGAAATAACCTGTTCCAAGCAGAGCCAGCAGCTTCAGACTCAGGGGTGGGGAAGGCAAAGCTTAGCCGGCTGTTAGGGGATATTCCTTACGCATGATCAGCTGTGGCTGTTAGTGAAACTAGGCAGCTCTTCCACTGCACTAATCCATTGCTAACATCCTTTCTGCTGTGAGAGATCAAGACTGGCAGCAGCTATAGATCTTAGCACGGGTGGCTTGTGGCACACCTTTGGGTAGCTGCTCAATTCCCTGTATTACATCTACCAGTGCGTCAGAATGCGCAGATCGATCTTTTGCATTGTTATGCATTTTATGGTGGTTTATATGTAAAATCCCGATATTCTTCATACTTAAAACATTTGTCTGAGTTACAGCAGTGGTGACTGTAGGGATTGGTTCATCAGTATCTAACAATTTTTCAGTTTGTAGAATGCTCTAAAGAGAATCATTATATCTATTATAATTATATCATTATTTTGTAAGCAACAGCATGTAGAAGACTAAGAGTCATTACACTTGAATGCATTTTTACCAAAGCCTTATTTACTGATTTATTCCTTACAACTTGTTTCTTTTTTCCCCAGCAGCTAGGATTTGCACCAGAAAGAGTTTACTTTTTAAGTACTGGATTCGTTATTGTAAGGCTGTACAGCTGAAAGTTTACAGTTATCCCCAGAAGGGTTAATCCCAGCCAGCTGCAGAAGCCCTGATCTCTAACAGAATGCTAGCCCTAGCACCTCACATTGTATACGTTTCTTCCTCGCAGCCAGTTTTGTTGTTAATGGGATGTGAGCCCACTCCTGAAGCAGTAAGACACTGATGGATGAGCTGGAGCCAACACTAAGACAGAAAAAACGATGTGGATACGCACAAAGGAGAAGTTAGTGCCTTTGAAACCAACACTGGGATCCTTCACTTCTCTGGGTAGCTCCTCTGCAGGACTGAAATAACAGCAGCCTTATGGATACAGCTGTGAACCGGTCTGGCAGAGTGTGGGGTGACCAACCACAGCTCAGAGGAACCTCAGGGACAGCAAGGAACATGCAGGTGAGAAAGCTGCGGGGCAAGGGCAAGCAGAACAGAGCACTTGCTTATGATTATATTATGCTGTTGCTTTCTACCCCTTTGGCCTCTTGGGGAAATAGTCCAGCAAAACAAAGTTATTATAGTGCTATAGCCATTATAATATTAGAGTTTTGCCAGTTGGTAGGATAATTGTATTGCTATAATAACTTCTGCCACTGCATAGAGCTGTGCTGGTTCAGAGTGTAATTATTCTAGCAGAACTATGTCAGTATAACTCCCCTTGTGAATACTACTCTGGAAAAAGCAATTTTATTCTGATATAATTACTTCATTTATTATTCCTCTGTTACTTTCCTACCGAACCCATCTTTTAAACATTTGTCCTTCCCATGAGTCCTATTTAAAATATCATCTCCCTTGATCATTTTACCAATTATGTATCTTTTCTCTCCCTCCCTAGTACTCTGCTTTATTCTCTCGTACTGCACTCTTTCAGCAATATTATTTTCTCCTTTTCCCTCTCCTTTCTGCTCTGTTCTTTTTGCCAGCTTTTGCTTAGCTCAGACTCCACTTTTGCAGCTCTCTGGCATCTGCCCTGGTGCCTTTCCTAAATAAACTGGCTAGTAAGCTGTAGTAATAGCCTGTGCTTCAGCAATGCATGAAGCTGTAGTGCCTTGGAATATAGAGGGGTGGAAGAGTTGTTCGCATCAGGTAAAGCCTAATTGCCCTTATTACCCCTCCCTTGGCTCCAGCCTGCTTCTGTGTGCTCCCACCTTACCCAGCTCCTGCACAGGGTGCATTATACTCACCCTAGTGTTCTGTATTGCGAGTCTCTCTTCTCCGGGCAGTGCGGTGGCTCTCACGCTCCACACCAGCAGCAGAACGGACACCAGGCTGGCCACCAGCTGCATGATGTACAGGCTGTCACTGCTGTGCTGAATTAGGAAGACTGGGAGAGGGAGCTGTTTCTGGGCTCTCTTCTGCCTCAGACAATGGCTGCGGCCCCTTTTATAGCCCTCCCCCTAGCCCAGTGGGTGACGCAAACAATTAAGTCTATATCAAAGGCAAATTAGACTTTGGAGAGGTTGTTAACACTTGGCTGCTTGAGTGGGATACTTCAGTGCCTCTGGGCTTTCCATGTGCCAGACCTGCAGAGACTGGGGAAGCAAAGGTTTGGGACTCTCCAGTAACATGCTGTTTCTTCACCCTGAGAAATTGTAGGCACTATCTGTGCCTCTCCTAGTTAGCTGAATTCTGCTTGGGAACATAATGTTGGATAGAATAGGCCACCAGCTTGCACAAACCTCTGGCCAATGCTGGATGATTCAGAGAGAAGAGGTAAAACTTCTGGCCATCAGTACGTAGATATGGGCTTGGACCCTCAGCCTGTGTGTCCAAACAGCTCCAGACTCTAGGGGTATTTGGATCTGGATCTCTGCATCTAGTGATTCATCTCATTGTGGAATGCCAATATGCCTGGCTTTCCGTTTACGGTAATGGGGACACAGGCTGCAGCTATGCAGTAATATAATCTGTCTTGCAAATGTACGTAAGACTACCTGGAAGCCAGTTGGAGGTTACTGGGTTTTGTTCCTAGTATTGTTTCAATATGTCTTGAACCTATCCCAGAAGTATAGGTCAACACAATGAATCCTGACTTGCAGATGTTGGGTTTAAATGTATTAAAGGGAAAACAAAGTACTGAAAGGCTGGTCAGAGCTGGAGCTGCTCTGCTCCATGAGGCTTTAGAAAAAAGCTCATCGTATGCCGGCACTGACTGCAGGCTGCTTGGAGTAAGTTCCTACCATTTCTGATCTCTGGTTAGCAGTTGTTAATAATGCTTCTCCCTTTGCCCAAAATGCTGTCCTACCAGTGAGATTGGTTTGTGGGCCAGCAGAAGGTGCTGTTAAGCACTGCTATCTGCTTTGCATGGGAACAACCCCATCATGGGGGATACCATCCACTGGCACATGCCTGTGAGATGCAGAGGCAGAGCTAAGATCCCATCTCACCACTAGCCCTTTCTCCAGAAGCATTTGCCTCAGGTCTGACCCTAACAACAAACGACAGTCAAAAGGTAAATTGTTATCCTAATTTAGCACATAGAAGAAACCCACAGGGAGGTGACTTGGCCAAGGGGATGCTGTGGCAGGGCTAAGAACAGAAGGCAGAAAAACCTGTTCCCCACTTCTACTGCTTACCAGCATTACACTTCCTGGAAACAGCATGATGAAGTTTTGCCTGCAAATAATCCAGCTCCTAATGCCAGTTACACCACTCTGGATGCTCTTAAGGGAAAACATGCCATCGCTTCCATGCATATTTGAAAAGAAATGCCGGATTCCCTCACTGAAAGGTACAAAGAAAAAAACCTTTTCTGAGTCATATGGACTTGTGGGGAAAGGTGACAATCTAGCAATTTCTAGAAATGAATTTTCCTCAGAAAACTTTGTAACCTCATTGTTTCTCACCCCCACCTCGTGAGAGCTGGCTTCCGTGCACCAGTTTCAGATGAAACATTATCTGTTTCCTTTTAAACTGATCTTGCTAGTTTATCAGAATTGCTGTGTTAGCCCTTTGTAATGGATTCTGTCAAACGCTTCCCAGCCAGTCTGGAGCTCGAGACAGAGAGCACTGAAGTACCAGGCTCCAGCAAGCAGACAAATCACAGGGACTTGCCAAATGACTCGCAGCCGATTTGCTCCAGGGGAGGTAAAAGTGGGAGAATAGCAAATGGAGAAAGCACACTTGGTTGCTCAAGAGGAACGAAGGGCAGGTACTTGTGAGTGTGAGATGTGCCTGGGCTGACAGGCAGGCAGAAAGTGAATCCTGTACTGTTGGTTATGAGGCAGGACTAAACCTTGTGGGCCTACTAGCCCAAAAGCTAGACAGACAGCAGAAGCAGTGCAGTCAGGTCTCCATGCTGGGGGCCATCTGGTCTAACCAAACTGTTTGTTCTAATAAATATGGGTTTGTTTGAAGCTTTGCCTTCTGAATGGGCTGTTTTCTATAAAGCTTCATTGAGCGAATGGGGTCACAAGTATAACAATGCTCTTCTAACAAAAAAGGGATGATGCGCTGAGCCAGAGATCAGCTTCTGGGGAGGCCCATAGGCACGTAAAGTGACCAGGCTGCCGTGAATCTGTCCTGGGATTAAAGGGCAGTAATAAAATAATTGTTACCTCTTGAAGGGGTTGGCTTTGGAGAGAGTTTCTGCCAGCACCGAGCCTGTGGCCCTGCCGAGGAGCACAGCGCAGCTACAGTTCTAGCCTGGGCAAGGCTGGGTGTCTCTTCCCAGCTGGGAGGAAGGGGAATAGGGACACATCAAAGCACTTACGCTCTGGTGCCCACAGTAGGACTCGATCTCTAAATCCAGTCAAGTTCCCTCTGGGCTCTGCTACAGCATCCTTCAATATCAGACGCCTCTTTTCCAGATTCCTCCATCTTGCCTAGTGCCCTTCCCTTTCCTCACATTCCCTCTGCTGCTTTCCCTACATTAGTCTGTCCTCCTCAAGCTCTGGTCCTCTGGCCCCTTTGCAGAGACCCTGCTGGTTCTGCTACCACCACTGCTGGCCATCGCCCCATCATAGGCGATGGGGAGATCCCCGTTTACCTCCTTCCCCAAAGGAAGTAAAATAACTCTGTGGTGATAAAATAGGTCTTTTTAGTAACTGGAAAGAGTTCAACATATAGCACCAGGATTGTTCTTCATTCCTACTGTTTCCTATTCCCTGTCGTATTGGCTGTCTGACCTTTAAGAAGGCCCGAATTTATTTTTTTGCCAACCCTTAAATGCTTATCACTCTGTACATGAAAGGTTAAAGGTCTTCCCTTGGAGGAATAAACATTTCTGACAATTCTTTCCTTGATTTCCTCTTACTGCTTTCTCTCTCTGTTATCTGACTCACCGCTTTAGAAGTCTTCTTCCTTGATTCTCTCTTCTGTCCGGAGTTGCACATGGTCTGAGTGGGTTTCTACCACTTTACAGTGAGGGTAGATGTATCTGAAATCAGCATACCCGTGAACACATCCATGGGAACCTAGTAAGGGTGGGGATGCTCCAGAAGGAAGTTCAGCATACAGTAACTTGAAAAGGCCTGGCTATCCAAGGATTTTGGCTCACAGTTAGCGTGGCTTCAGCAGAGATGCAGAGTGGGTTCAGAAGTACCGCAGACTATGCTTACACAATCACATAAGACAACCTCCATCTTTTTGTGATTAACGGTGCACAAGCAACATGCAATAGGAGAGGTTTTATCTTTCAAGAAAGAGGTCCCTGACCTCTCCTCAGTGCGTCTGTACAGCAGTGAAGACTGGGCATTGCTGGAATACAAAAGCTAAGACTGTGTCTGGCACCAAATGCCACATTAAGGAATGAGGTAATTTCTCAATTGCTTTCCTCTATGGCCTGGATATTCGCCATCTTCTGCCCATTTGTTGCCTGGTCTGGGTTCAGATCACCATGTCTTGAAGCACGTAACAGAATTGCATCAGGCTTCCAGAACAAAGTCTGGTTCCCAAAGGTGAGGCACTCAGCTGCAGCTGAAGGAAGGGTTCAAATGCTTCTGCTTTCCTGTCATTGAAACCCTTTCTCTCTGCCTCAAGAGTCCCTAGTTGCAAAGGCCAATGCAATAAATAAAGCAATAGTCAGCTGACAGTTGTGAGCCTTCCTGGAAGGGGAAACCAATTTGTTCATGGGCCTGAAATCACAGCTCATTTATCAGGCCAGGCTTGCAGTATTCCCTCGCACTGCGCTCCCCAGGGGCCTCCGAGAAGCATGCAGGTGGCTGTTCCAGCCACGGCTTTTAATCGGCACTAATCTAACAAACCAAAGGAATAGACTGTGTGAGCGTGGGCTGGAGCCTACTGCTCCCACTCATCTCTGATAAGAGCTGCAGAGCAGGTGCAGGGAGGAGGAGGGGAGTACCGCAGGGATGCTGCTGTCAGAGCACGCACGACTACAAGCCTGTTACAGCTCTCTAGGGAGGTGAAGCAGGGAGAGTTGTGCTACCTTCTCTGTCTGTCGACCCCAAAGGGACTGCAGGAGGATGAAGGGAGGGCGAGTGTAACGCTTCAGTGGTATGCTCAAAACCTTTTGTTATTTTAAAAAGCATGCGAAGTTAAACATTTCAGTTATTCCACCAAAAGTCTTCCTTGAAAATAACTATGTGCTATGAAACACTTCTATTTCAAAATACCTCTATTTTCCACTGAAAATGTTTTGCCCGGCTCCAAGTAGGAGGCATTTCAGGCTGTGAAGCAGGCTGAGGACCCCTGGGGTTCCCGCCTACTGACATATGAACTGACCTCTGTTATACCAGACTCGTCCCGTTAGTGGTAAGATTGGCTGGACAAGACTTGGACGGAAATGTTTCTTTACCATTTGGATTTCCTGAGGGATCACATACACACTGTGCCTTGTGGGAATTCAGTCAGAAAGAGCTCACCAGGGACATTAACACGCTGACTGTGAGACTGCCAGCACCACAGAAGGGACCACTCGGCTGGGGGAGCTTTAAACAGGAATTCACGTGCTCCATGTAGTGTGGGGTTCTGGTTACTCCTCTCCTACAGCTGAAGGGGATGACCCTGCATGTGTTTCATCACATACATCATCTTGCCCTTAACCCTGGCACACAGAATTAGCTTTGTTAAGCAAACTCCTTCCCGGAGATGCCCGGCTGTGGGCTGCTGCAGCAGCCGTTCAGTACCAAGGAGAGGGCAGCCCCCTCCTGCGGGGTCCCTGCTCCAGCCAGCCCTCGGTTCTCACCGCCGGCACTTCAAACCCCATTAGCCACGGAACTGGCGTCCTTGAAAGGCCTGCCGCTGAGATCCCTAACATTCATAATAATCCCCCCGCCTTTATCTGCTTCACACATCACTGTGCTATACTTGACATTCCCTGGCTCTAATCCCCCACCTTTTGCATATTTTAAAAGTACTTAACTCCATCCTCTACTTGA